AAAAAAAAAAAAAAAAAAAAAATCACCTTTCCTAATTTTCTTAAGCATATGTTCTGGTTCTTTATAATGATACTAAGAAAGCAATAACAAAAAGAACACCACCACTCATGTAACAAGCTAGGAGTAGTATAATGATGAAATAGCATGGTAATAAACCCTGAAATGGCAAGAGCCGTATTGCACGTTTACTCCATAAGCATTGCAATGCTTATCTATCTTTGACATTTTCCCATGTCACCACAAAATTTCATTTATTTTTTTAGCACAGTGCTGTTCCACTCCTCAAATTCCAAGTCCTCTAAACTCAGCCATCTATTCAAATAAGGTTTTCTCCTGTTTGCACACCATTACATAACAACAGGATTTTATACTCGTAACACTAACAGGGAGGAGATCTCAGAAGAAGGACCTGCTGTTTCTCCTGCTGTATTTCAGACTATACGGATAGTGTAAACATCACTCAGCTGTTTAAGGAGGTATTTAAACTACAATTTGTACCTTTCTGATACAGCTTCTGCCTGATCTTCCTTTCTTTCCATCTCCAGGATTTCCTCCTCTGTGTACTCCAGTTTTACTCTCTCTTCTGCCAACTCTCTCTCAACTGCTTCCAGCTGGGCAGTGGTCCTAGCTAACAGGGCTGTCACCGCATCCTGAAAGGGAGACTAGACTTCAGATAAAATCGTTTGAACAAGCCAATGTATTTAATATATATTTTTCAGAGAAAACAAAGTAAAACCATAGCCATTGTATGTTCCTAAAACAAAAAAATAAACCGAAAAAACCCAAAACTGTCCCGAATCTTAACGATCAAAAAGTACATGGTGTTCAACGGATGCAGCTTCTCACAGAAACCAGGCAGACTTTATCTCACTATGGAGCATTATTCAGCAAGTTAGGTCCGAAGAGACCTCTGGAGGTCATGTAGTCTGATGTCCTGCCCAAAGCAGGGACAGCTTTATAGCCACATCAGGTTGCCCAGGGCCCAGTCAAGGGCCGAAATATCTCCAAGGATGGAAATGGCATGACTGTTCCTGGCAACCTCTTGAAGTGCAATGGCAGAACTTTTTAATGATTTTTAGTTAGTTGGATTGGGAGTGTGCATACAAACAGACACAGAGTACGACTTCAAGCACCTGTCCAGCCATGATCTAGCTTTTAATTATTCTTTTAAAATTCAGCTCTTGCCACAAGAGCTAAATGAAGGTATCACCTTCTGCGCACCTCTAAACCAAACTGCACCTGAGTTAAGATCACAACCAACCACCCAGCAAGTCAAATAAAGTAAACAAATCACTTCTTCAGAGCCATACTGTTTTAACTGTAGTTACATTTCCAGAAGACCGGGGAACACTTTCTTCACACTGGTTTTTGTTCTTTGCTCTCTGGGGGTCTGAACCAGCGAAGATCTGAACAGTATACCAGTGAAGCTGCATCTCACCAGAACTCTCTGCATCAGTCAGGTTTATCTGAGCAATGCCCTGTAAACAACAAAAAGCATTGAGCACAGTAAGATAAAACATGCACGGCAGGATACAAATCTTCTTGTAAAAACCCCACTGTATCAAATACTACCAGTGTCTTTTTAAAAAAGAGACAATTTTGTTCTGTTGTGTTATGATGTCTAAGATACTGAATTTCTTGCCTCTTGCTTACTACCAGGAAGGATCAGAGCAGATACTCCATTTTTTTCAGTTGAGAAATAAAATTTCTATGACTGATGTAGATATAATTGTTACAGCTGACTGCTCTTAATATTTGATTAAAAAACCCTCTCAATTACGTATGATTTCTACATTTGCTTAAATTAATATTACTTTAACAGTATTACTTAAACCTGTTTTCTTTTGAGGGAACTACATTCTGAGATACCGTTCCATTCTGTGGTCCTCAGAGACATCTTCCAAATGGAAAAAAAAGTCATGTAAAACAACTTATTTTTTGTGCCTGTTTGTATCAAATGGGTAGTCCAATGGGCCACAAAGCCATTTTTCCACTTTCCAAGCCATCATTATATCTCCCAGATTCAGGTGAAAACAGGTTTAATGGAGGCTTCCCACTAAAAGTACTCCCAACTTTAAAGTAGCCCTAGCCCATCAGACAGTGCTCATGCAAGAAATCTGAGTGGGGTTGACCTAAATGAAAAACAGCTGTGGGCAAATCCAGGCTGCTCTGCTTGTTTTCTTTTTTTTCTTTTTTTTTCTTTTTTTTTTTTTTTTAAATCAGTTCACTAGCTGGACCTAGCAATGACTTTATATTAGCTAGCCTTTAATTACTGCTTTTGGCTTTATCTGGCTATCTCTACAACCTGCTCATTTCCATGCTAATGGACCACATGCTAACAATGCTTTCATTTAGATCACTGGAAAAATCATGTAAAAATTGTTTTCATCTCTCACAAAACAAATAGCTGGATGCAATGATTCTAACTGTAAAGGCAGTACGAAATGTATTCAGCAACTGCATTCAACTTCAAGCAGGTAAAGAAACAGTTAATTAGAAAATAATAGAATAAAACAAATTCATTGTATTGTTTTTCCAAGATTAGCGTTTCCCTGAGGCTCTGTTTAAACAGGTGTATAAAGGACAATGGAGAAAAGTTTTTTGAGACTAACAAAATGATGTCATATTGGGATACAACATGTTACTGAGAATGTCGTTTTATGTCAGTATATTGGAGGCTACAGAGATGCCTTTTCTTTTATGTATAAAACAGAGATGTTTTGTAATTATCTACTTGCTGTGACACACTAAGAAAGAAACAGATTATCAAATACTCACACTTTTGCATCAGAGTTGGAAAGAGTTTAAAACATGCTGCGTTTGGTTTTAGAGGTAGAGGGTAAAGTTGTTTTCCTGTCATCAATATTGGAAGAAACCTATGTTGACTCTTAAGATGCCTGACACCGGCCTAAGCACCGTATTTATTAAACGGCTGAGAAAGCATGCCAAAGAAGCTGTTACTACAGAGTGAATGACAATGGGGTAGAAAATCACCAAACTCAATTAATAATTACCAGTACTGAAAAGACTACTTAATATTTAACCTCTACTGCAAGATTTGGAGCTCACTCAAAAGGATGAAGAAACCAAGGTGGGTCTGCTAGCCGTCTGTCAGGTGCCTGCTCTGAGCATTTGTTAGTAACTCAGATGGTGGAATAGTAGAAGCATTTATGAATCTCTCAGTGATGTCAAACAGAGGGATTGCAAAATTTATGAGAAAAGGATCAGAATTTAAAATAATGTTAAAAAATGGAATGGATGTTCTAAATAAAAACATGAAATGCAAAACCAGAAATGTTACACTCAAGAAGAATAATTCAGATAAATTAAGACATGGGGAATAATTGGTTGGTCAGGGCTGTAAAAGATCAGAAACTGGAAGTGAAACAGCAATGCCATGTAATTGCAAGAAAGGCAACTGCAATTCTTTGATGTTTTAACATGAGCTATATAGACTAATCCTGGGAAATAACAACTCCCTTATCTCAACATTGATGAGGCCACCAGGGAAGAAATACGCCAACTTAAGGAAGCCCAGTTTCAGAAAGCTGTAGGAAAGCAGAAAAAGATCTTTCAGCAAGGCAGGGCATATGAGTAAAAGGTTGAGGGAATGGAAAGACCATCCCACAAGTTTAGTAGATTTACTTCTCTAAGCGCAGTTTAGAACTATTTGCCAGAAATTTTTTTTTTCTCCCTTTCCCTGTTATGTACAAATATTTGTGTAACTTAGGATAAACTCCAGCCCAGCATCCGCATTTAGGAAAGCATTAAACTGGGATAATCTAATTGAAAAAAAAAAGCATCGAGAACTTCAGAAATATATGAATAATTAAAAAGATGGAAAAAAATATAATCTCAGTGGAAGAGATTGGGAAAGCCAGAGGCCATCACAGCAGTTTCAAAGACACAAAGCAATTGATTTCTCAATTTGAGAAAATGCTTACTTTCAGTTTACAGCAAAAGAGGGCAACGATCATAATGTTTAAAAACACACTTCAGTGCACCTACCTTATGAAACTGTGGCACTGTTTCTTTCTTTTTGAGTAGCATTGTTAGCTTACCCTAAAGTATGTTACAGGCTATCGTAGACAAAGATATTTCTGACAAAACTACACTATGAAAGAGAAAAAATTCCTGCCAACATAACCTGAAAACCTGTATTTTTTTTTGTTAATTCAGTAATAGCAGTTAAAATAAAAGTGCCCTAAGGTTACATGCACTTCTGTCAATATAAAGATGCTTACACTGAAATTGCCATTTAGCTACTCAGATGAACAGGCTATACCAGTATAAAGCATTTTACACCAATGTATCCAGCCAATATATTATTGAGATGCTTTCTCTTTCATTATGTTGCAGTGCAAAAATGTCAAAACTTCCTACTGCAGACCAGACCTTGGGTCCAATTCCGTCAATGTTAAGACCACTGTTTATATAAGACACTACCTAGTTTTAAGGTGGACTAACAAACATCCTTGACCAGATTTGCTCAAATGAAACACAACTCACTGTCATGCTGGACTATGGATAAGAGGTCTGTACCTCTTCACTACTTTGATAGGCTTAAAAAAAATGTCACTGACCCATTCAAGCCCCTCAGTGAAATGGCAGCCTACTCACTTTAAAATAGCCAGGACGTCGGCCCCAAGGCAGATTTGTTTAAGCATATTTAGATTTGACAATAGCTAAATGTAGCTAACATTTAACACATCTAAAGTTAACACAGTGAACACATGTAACCTGTTTAAACAATTGCTATACTTATTTGAATGCATCTAACATCAGATGCTATCTACATCAGATATCTCAATCAGTTTAAAATAAAAGGTTGGTGTAGCAGAAACCTGCCTGGATCACAACCATCCTGCAACAGAGATTGATATAATAGTAGTCATCTTTGCCCACCGTTATATACCAACAAGCAATTTGTATTTGTAATCTTTTTTTATGAACCTATTTTAATGATACTGATTCATCATGTACACGTTACAGTGCCATGCAGAAACAGAAGTCTTGAGCACAGTGAAGTCTAAAAGCTGTCAGACAAAGTCTTTGGGAAAAAGTTTAGTTTTTTGCACAATGCTTTCCTTCTTGAACCAAAATTTAGCAATGGCAGATTTTTCAGCTTTCGCCAAAGCAGACATTTGTAAGAAATGCATTAAATAAATAAAAGCTTAACTCCTTATCTACTAAATCCCATAAAAATGAATGTAAATCTTACATCAATTTTCAACATGCCTCTGCAATGTAACAGTAAACAGTAGTACAGACAACATTACTTTCAACACTGCTTAAAACGCTCCAATTCTCAACCTCCACTGATTTTGCTAATAATTTCCCAAGACTTTATGTAACCCAAAATGCACATATTTCAACTTTTTAAAAACCTCACCTTTTTCATTAACGGAAGTATACTTATGTATGTGAACAAACGGACACATTAACATGCAACTCTAGCAACACTTCTTATGGAAAAATAAAGTCTACGCTTTCTCTTTTTAATCTTAAAAATTATTCCTCAAGTAACTTTAGTTTCCCATATCACATGGCTTTTAAGAAAAAGGACCACTTACCAATAGTTCTTCTTGTTGCTGATGGTCAACTGAACAGATATACAGCTGCAGTGATTTTAATTTCAAAACACTTGAATGCACAGGGATTCGGAACACTTCATTAAATATTAATGGAGTTTGGAATTCCAAAGCTCTAGAGCAGTAAGTGGTTGGTGTGCCTGACTCAAGTGGTGGCAAATAAACTCTCACATGACTGGGAACAGCAAAACAGACAAATAGCACAATTCAGACAAAGAAAGCTATTCTGTATTTCTCAAAATTAAGCTAAGCAAAAACATCAGTGTAACTTCTACATCAAGAATCTGCTCTGAGATCTCCTTGTTACAGGAATTTACTTTCTGTTCTTAACACAAAAGAACCGCAAAGCTGATCTGGAAACATTATCTTTTTCTAACTAAAGCTAGTTTTTTTTTTTTAACTTAGTGCTTAAGCAGAGGCACCAAGTGGCACTTGAGATGCCCTGAGGTATCCGAAGCATCTATGTGGGGCTAGCAAATATGACATAGGATCTATGAGAGAGCTACAGCCTTCCCCTGAGCAGCAGCAGCTGGAGGCCAGGTGCTATGCTATGATATTTCAAATGGAAACACATGCCTATGTTTAGGCAATTGAATTGCCCCATAAGTGTCACTCATCCATTTCTTCCTTCCACCCACCAAGAACACCCTTTTTTCCCCTGTTAACAAACTCATCACAAAAGCATGGCAAAAGAAACCTGCAACCTTAAAAAAAAAAAACAAATTTAAATATCTGGTCCCCCATCATTTGAGACTCCAAGCCAAAAACAAAATCCATGATGACTTTAATCTGACAGAAGGCAGCAGAGCTACTTAGATCATAGAATCATTCAGGTTGGAAAAGACCTTTGAGATCATCAAGTCCAACCATCAACCCTACTCTACCAAGTACACCGCTAAACCATATCTCCAAGCACCACATCTAAATGACCTTTAAACACATTAAGGGACGGTGACTCCACCACCTCCCTGGGCAGCCTATTCCAATGCCTGACAACTCTTTCAGTAAAATAATTTTTTCTAATGTCTAGCCTAAACCTACCCTGTCGCAGTTTGAGTCCGTTCCCTCTTGTTCTATCATAAATTACCTGTGAGAAAAGACCAGCACCTACCTCTCTACAATGACCTTTCAGGTAGGTGTAGAGAGCAATAAGGTCTCCCCTCAGCCTCCTTTTCTTAAGACTAAATAGCCCCAGTTCCCTCAGCCACTCCTCATAAGACTTCTAGGCCTTTCACCATCTTTGTTGCCCTTCTCTGTACCCTCTCCAGCACCTCATTGTCTTTCTTGTATTCAAGTGCCCAGAACTGAACACAGTTCTTGAGGTGTGGCCTCATCAGTGCCAAGTACAGGGGGACAATCACCTCCCTACTACTGATGGC